GAACTCCGGCTGCCGGCATTTGCGTCAAGGATTTGGGGAGAAAACGGAGCTTTTTGGGGCTGGCTTAAAACCGGAGGCAGGTGAGGTGAAAAAAATATATAAAAATATATTTAATTTTTTTTTTTTTTCAGCAAAGAGCCTAAAGAGGGAAAATACGGCTGGAAATTCTGCAAATTTTCACCCAATTTCTGGGTTTGTTCCTGGTAGTGGCTGGATTTGATGTTTTTTGAGGGAATTTGGGGGGGAGAAAAGGGGAAAAAGGGGGAAAAAAGAGGAAAGGGGAGAGGAGGAAAGGGGAAAAAGTGGAGGAAAAGGGGGAAAAGGAGGGGAAAGGGAAAAAAGGGGAAGAAAAGGGTGAGAAAAAGTGAAAAAGGTGAGGGAAGGAGAAAAGGTGGGGAAAGGGAAAAAGTGGAGGAAAGGGAAAAAGGGGGCGGAAATGAAAAAAAGGAGGAAAAAAGGGAGGAAAGGGAAAAATCGGGGGGGAAGGAAAAAATGGGGGAAGAAAGGGGGAAAAAGAGGAAAGGGCAAAACGGGGAGAAAAGAGGAAAAGGGAGAAAAGGGAAAAGAGGGTGGAATGGGAAAAAAGAGGAGAAAAGGAGAAAGTAAGGAGGAAAGGGAAAAAGAGGAGAAAAAGGAAAAAAGAGGAGGAAAGGGAAAAATGGGGAGGAAAGGGGAAAAAAGAGAGGGAAGGGAAAAAAGGGTAGGAAAGGGAAAAAGAGAGAGGAAAGGGGAAAGGGGGGGAGGAAAGGGAAAAAAGGAAGAAAGGAAAAAGGGGAGAAAAGGGAAAAAAGGCAGGAAAGGGAAAAAGGGGGAGAAAAGGGAAAAAGGGAAAAAAAGGGAGAAAAGGGAAAAAGGGAGGAAAAAGGGAAAAAGGGAGGAAAAGGGAGGAAACAGAAAAAGGGGGAGGAAAGGGGAAAAGGGAGAGGGAAGGGAAAAAATAGGAGGAAAGGGGAAAAGGGGGAAAAGGAAAAAGGGGGGGAAGGGGAAAAAAGGGGATTTAGGGGCAAAAAGAGGGAAAATGGAAAAAAGGGGTAAATTAAACAAGGGAAATTGAGGAAAAAAGAAAAAATGGGGGAAAAGGAGGAAAAAGGAAAAGAGAGAAAATGGAAAAAAGGAAAAGAGAGGAAAAGGTAAAGAGGATAAAAGAGAGAAAAGGGAAAAAAGGGGGGAAATAAAAGGAAAAATAGGGGGAAAAAGGGGGAGGAAG